TCAACCTGTAGACAAATTGTTTCATTATCCAAATTTGATTTGATCATTTCAAAATATGCAGCTTGTCGTCTCTTGATAAAAACATGTACCAAAATGAATCGAGTTGTGCTTCAAGTGTATTTAAACATTGATGGACTGTACCATTAAATTCTTGTTTTTCTGAATACCCATTTTTTAAAACCCATTGATACCATTGAATTTTTTGTGCTGGATTAAGTACATACTTTCGAAATTTATTATCAAAATAATTAGTACATAATGAACATCGTCGAAACATACAATTTTCATCTTCTTCGGTGCACACAAGTGCTTTTGAGAATGCTTGAATTGTACATAAATTTGAATTATTAATACACTTTGACAATGGTTTTATTAACAAATTAATATTTTCGTGGTAAGAACATAAACAATTTCTGTGTGGCATATGAGAATAAGTTAATACATTAGGTGGACGTAAAATACGAAATGAATTAACTGATAATGCATCATTAGTAATATTACGGTCCATCAAAAATAATTCATATGTTTCTCGAATGTTATTCAATAAAATTCTTTTTTGCAATTGTGTTGAACCATTATCATTTTTTATTGTAATATAATCACGTTTGCCAGGCATTTGATGACTAATATCATCGCGGTTGTAAAAGTCAATCACAGCTTTTTTTAATTCGATCGGTAACTGTCGTTGTTCACGTTCGTGAAGATCTGTTGTTTTTGAAATAATATCAAGTGTTTGTGCTATATGACGAACTACACTAATACGTCTATTTGGTTCTTTTGGTAATGATTTCTGAACACGCTTAATGGCTTGACCAAATGATTGACGATTTTTGTAAGTTGATGATCGATTATCATTTAATCGCTTTAATTTTAATCCATCACGATATTTTTTTGATGCAAATTTTTGTCGTATACGTAATTGATTTAATGCATCACCTGTCAGGCTTTTGCGTCTTGCATTATCTCGCATTCGAGACTTTTGCTTCATATGTTCAAATTTCAATTTGTCATTTGCTAAATTGGCACGATATATTTTTTGCCTTTCGGCATTGGATTTTGCCATTTTTAACAATGAGTACTTGAGTACTATAAATTGTATTTAATTGATTTATATGTAAAAAACAGTTTCTTAAACAAAATTCTGTTGAGTTCTTCGTTTTACAAAACAAGAAATCGAAACTGTCAATAGATTTCAACAACATCTGTACTTATGAGAGATTGATAGATTTGATTGGTAAATCTATTTTAACTATAACAACTTTACTAATTAGAACCAATCAGAATATTCTCCAATGAAAATCATTTTTACAAGTATTAATATTATCAGCCATTACACATAGTTGATAATTATATTTGAGTAATTCATGAATACTTATAAGTTATTGTTCATAAGCCTTTCTTATAACAAATTGTGAAAAATCGTCATCGCGTTACGGAAAAAAATTTAAAAAGGAAATTGTTTTCCTGAAAATACGTGCACTAGATAGCTCATGAAAAGTTAGCTTTACATGCGTCTTTTTAGGCCAGATTGTTTTGTATCGACAGTAGAAAAAAAAACAATAATGATTTTTTTGTTACGCGATGATGGTATAAATATTGTCTTTTCTCTCACACTCTCTGTACAAAAATACAAAGAATAGAAAATCAATTCTTTTGCTAGTAGATGCCTTTATTAATGTACAGTTAATACGTAATTATCAATCGTGTATATATCGAGAAATTCCGATAAAAAGTTTAACTAATTAAATGGATCAAACTAACTAATTTCTGTCATAGAGTGGTGACATCTTTGCAAGGAAACGCTAAATGTGATTTAAGACGTCTATGACCGAACAAAATATGTTTTCATATATTCTCGACTATGCCCTACAACCTACAAATAACAGATTCTCAGATTAATGATTTCGAATTTCCGGTACCAGAGGTGACGCGTTACGATTTTTTGCCGATATACAGGGTGTAAAAAAACCATTACGCCCCCCCTTCCAGACCTAAAGACCAAATAGTACCCCCAACAATTTTATACCAAATGAAAGCCCGCAAAAAGTTACGTCTAGTGGTATAGTCAGAACAAATATAGTTTGTAATATTATAACGATTCTAGGCTCAATACATCATTTTCACTTATGTATCACAGTCTCATATCAATTGAAATGATACAAGTTATCTTTCTTCACTTTCGAATTACGTATTAATAGATCGTAGTTTTCATGGCTCCAAGTTTTTATTAAATGTACGATATCGTAGACCAATATGTCACGTATTTTGCCAAATTTTCGTTTTCTAATGTTATATTTGAGTATCACAAAGCACGTGAGCGAGTTGAGTAATGTTTAGTGTGAATTATCAAAAGCCTTACTATTGATGACTGATAACGAGAAGAAGGAACAGAAAAAAAGAAAGTTATGTGCACATTTATGCACGAACAGATAAGAAGAGAATACAGAAAAGAAAATGGTCGAGTGTCGAAATATTTTCAACTTTTTTCATTGATTTTCTTTCTGAGTATCTGTTGTCCGCGCAAGTAATTTTTATTCACGTTAGACGTTGAACAATTTGCTGATTAGTTAATAAAAAATTCTATGGTACATTAATTGAAAAACCAAAATGGCTAATCTGCTTCATGATTCGGAAGAGCAACGATTCGTTGACAGAATTCGATGTGTCACATATCGTGAAATACGTGACGAACTGATTGCAAGAACAGGAGACTCAATTATTACTCGCCCTTGGATTTCCGAGAAGCTACGTCGCAGTGAAGATTGGGTACGACGAAATTGGAATAAATCTATCGAAGAATGTTATACACAATTTGGCAGTGGTCGACCCCAGGTGCTTAATCAGGAGAGAAGAAACATTATCTCTTCTGCAAGTGGTGCCAAAAGCAGTAGCTGTCGAAAAGTTGCAAGAGAGATTTTAGAGAAAACAAAACAGCGGGTGAGTCACATGACTATTTACAATGAACGCCATCGGCAAGGATTAAAAGCTTTCCATGTGATTGCCAAGCCACTGAAGACAAATACACATATCGAAGATCACAAGTGGCTAGCCAATTTTCTTACTGATTGGACTGAAGAAGATTTTCTACATGTTGCACCTTCGGATGAATTTTACATTTATGTTGTAAGAAAACCAAACCATCAAAATGATCGAATTTGGGCAAGAAGTATTGAAGACATCAGTGATGATGAAAGATACCGAGATATGGTTTACAATGCAACATGTATTGGGGTTTTCGTCATGTTTACTGCAAAAAAACTACTTTGGGTGCTAAAAGAACATGGACAGTCTTGGGATGGCGCTTATTTTCGTGACACTATCCTTCGACAACAGGTGATCCCATTTCTTCGTGATTCGTCCAATGTTCTCGATACGAACGAAGTGATATTTCTTCACGACAAGGCACCTTGTATGAAAGCGAATGCAACACAACATCTTTTAGAAGATGAGAATGTGAATTTCTGGAAAAATTCAATTTGGCCAGGCAATAGTCCTGACATGAATTCTGCAGAAAATATTGGTGCAATTATTAAAGATAAAGTTGAGGAACTAATGGCAAATGAAGATCGTCGTAGCAGATACAATTACGATGCACTGAAAACGAATTTGGAGAATACGCTCAAAGATCTTGAAAATGATACAGATCTTTTTATTGACTTGTTATGCTCAATGCGAAAAAGATTTGATGCTCTCAAGGCTGCTGATGAGGGTCATACGAAGTTCTGAAACTTTCGAAAAAGCATTTTTTAGTATTCAATATTATCAATAAACTGAATAATTAATGATTCACAACTTAAGTTACTGTTGAGCACAACGGCTTTTGACGTACTCGAGATTGTGATATATAAGTGAAAATGATGTATTGAGCCTAGAATCGTTATAATATTACAAACTATATTTGTTCTGACTATACCACTAGACGTAACTTTTTGCGGGCTTTCATTTGGTATAAAATTGTTGGGGGTACTATTTGGTCTTTAGGTCTGGAAGGGGGGGCGTAATGGTTTTTTTACACCCTGTATATATATCAATCTTTGAGATAGCGATTTCTATAATTAACCCAATCCTCAGACTCAATACTTTTTTAGAATATATTTTATTTGTTTCTTTTGTATTTGTCAGTTTTTGTTGTATTGACTTTAATATTTGATCTATTTTTTATCATTCATAGGTAGTGTTGAATTCCACATTTCAAGTAAATCATTTTCGGTAAACGTATTTGATTGATCATTTTCTGAAAAAGTTGTATGATATGTGAAAATAAATAATAGTATTAGATTGTTAACAAAGTTTTTGCGTTTTTTTCCAAAATTTTATTTCTATTTTTTAACTTCAACAATACAACTAGCTTTCAGTTATATATGAACCACTACTATCTATGACTTGTCACCAACGCTCTGGTAGAGATAGGATCCTACGTTCATAGAAGTCCTTGGACTTTTGACCAAAGAAGTTGGCGATATCCATTTTTACGTCGTTCTCGTCGTCGAACTTTTTCTCACGCAAATGATGAGAAAGAGAACGAAACAGATGGTAGTCCGTTAGTGCCAAGTCAGGAGAATAAGGTGAATGTGGAACGGTAATCCAACTGAGCTTCAATAATTTTTCGCGGATCGACTTTGCAACATGGGGTCGGGCATTGTCATGCAAATAGTTAATTCGATCCTGTTTTCCCTTGAGTTTTTCGGGGTGTGGGTGTGGATGGATGTGAGTGGGTGTGAGCAGAAGTGCGTTTCTAATCATACCCATACTCACATCCACCCACGTCCACACCCATCATGACTACCATGAGTATCAAAATGATTTAAGTGTACATCTTGAGGAAAAATCTTCTTCAATATAACTAGGTTCTTTTTAATAAACATAAGTTTGTTGACTTTTTCTGCCGACAGACGTGTACGAGTATTAGTAATTGTGTTGCCACTAGCAGATAATAAACGTTCGGCAGCTGTTTTTGTAGCAGGAATTATAAGAATTTCACATACTATTGAATAAAGTGTTGGATAAAAAGCTTTTTGTCGTTTCCAAAACATGAATAAATCTTCATCATCTCTTAAACTATCATTAGCTTGTAAGTAACGTTTTAATTTATCATTAGCATCAGGAACGCTAGCACTTGTAGAAAGTTGATCAAAACATTCTAATAAAAAATCATTTGAAACGAATGATGTAATTGATGTTTGTTTGTTTGTGATGATGTTTCAAAAGTAGTTGATGCAGCTGTTTGATGTGCTGAAATATAGAAAAGAAGTTTCATTTTTTTCTAAAAACGTTATTAATAATAGAATCTTAATTTTTCCATTATAGAATACAAAATTACTTACCTTGTCGTCTATTAATTTCCTTTTTTAATAAATCATAAGCTTTCTTTTTATCTTTATTTGGACATATTTGTAAATATTTCATCTTTTTATGCAGAACAGCAGCCATATAGTGGATATCATCAAGTTCCCAATATATTGGAATTTCATTCTCAATATATTTTTTCAATTTGATTATTGAATCTGGATCATTTGGATCTAGTTTAGATAATTTAATAAGACGTTGTTTAAGTGGTAAAACTAATTGAATTGTAGCAGTTTTTTCTTCACTTAACAATTCTGCTACATCCACGAAATATTTTAAACATTTGGCAAATGCCAATGTTTCATCAAAATCAATACCACTAAGAATCGATTTTTGAGATTTATCAGAAATAATTCCATTTAAATCCGGATAAACATCGATGAAAATTGATATCATATCATAAGCACTACACCATCTGGTTTTGACAAAGATTTCTAATTTTTTCGATAATTTCGATTGATTATGACATGATCTTAAATAAACTACAATATAATGTATATCATTAAACAGTTGTTGAATATCGTCATAATCAATATTTGAATTACATAATGAATGTTCGATTATTTTATTTACAAAATGTGCAGCACACACTCTAAAAAAAAAGGTTTCCTCGGAAACCGGTACCCCTTCGGAAACCTTTTCGAAAACCTTTTTAGGTTTCCGGAAGGGTTTCCGAACTTATGTTGAGTTTCTGACAATACCTTGAGGGTTTCTGAGCATCCGGAAACCAATGGATTTTGGAGAGAGCGGATTCGGAAACCTTCAACCGTATTCTCGGAAACCGCTTTTGCTTCGAAAACCTTTTCGGATACCCATTGCGTATCCTCGCATACCTTTGGGTTTTCGATATTCTTTTATCGAAAACCCTTTTGGGTTTCCGGGCATCGGAAAAGGTCGAAGCGTTTTCCAAAAATCTAGCAAGGTTTCCGAACATAACTGGAAAACCCCTTAGGGTTTCCGAATGTTGCGAAAACCTTTGAGTTTCCGAGAAAAAGTTTCGAAAACCCATTAAGTAGTATGCAAAATCCGATTAGCATTCCAATATGATCTTTTTTATTCTCATGTTCTATCGTGTGATTTTCAGGTAAAGCGGTGCTCGATATGCATGACATAAACCTTACTTAATTTGTGTGAAGTTGCTTTGTAAAACATAAGAAATCTGAGAAATGTAAAAGAAGGCGTTGTTCCCAAAAGAATTCTAAGTCGTTTTTATATTTTAAATAGCCTAAAATTTGGATGTATTATGACACATTTTACTGTGAAAATCGAAGAATCGCGCTAAATTGGATGGTCACTATATGCCCTCTAAAGGCATCGTAGTCAAGCAATTTCGTGCCGAACTTAGGTTTTTCTTCCCTCGTTATACTATGGACACATGTTCACCAATATGAAATTCAGATCAACGTTAAGAAGTTAGATTAAGGGTTACAATAAGCGGACAGATATAGATTAAAGAGTTAGAATAAGACCACGGAATAAGACATTACAACAACGAGTTAGAATAAGGGGATACACATAGATTAAGGACTTAGATAAGCACGATACATTTAGGGATAGTTATAGATTAAGGAGTTATATTAGAGGTTAGAATAAAGGGGTAGAACAAGAAAGTAGAATAAGGGGACAGATACAGATCAAAGAGGAACAGACTGATTTCCGATTTCTTGATTTCTAGTGATTTCCATGATTTCTGACGATTTCGAGTTAGAGGAAGTCCGCTACCGTTCCGTTGCCAAATAACCGGTAACGAAAAGTTTGTGAGTTTCATTTTTTGTTAGGATAAGGCTATTTTCAAAAAATAACGATTTTCTATAAAGTTTGATCAAAGGTTATCGAGGTCGAGGAATCCGAATCTATGAGTCGTTATACAAAATTTGTGATTTTCATTCTTTTGTTACGATAAGGCTATTTTCAGAAAATAACGATTTTCCATAAAGTTTGACCAAAGGTTACCGAGGTCGAGGAATCCGAATCCATGAGCCGTTTTACAAAATTTGTGATTTTCATTCTTTTGTTAGGATAAGGCTATTTTCAAAAAGTAACGATTTTCTATAAACTTTGATCAAAGGTTATCGAGCTCGAGGAATCCGAATCTATGAGTCGTTATACAAAATTTGTGATTTTCATTCTTTTGTTACGATAAGGCTATTTTCAAAAAAATAACGATTTTCTATAAAGTTTGATCGAAGGTTATCGAGGTCCAGGAATTCGAATCTATAAGTCGTTTTACAAAATTTGTGAGTTTCATTCTTTTGTTAGGATAAGGCTATTTTCAAAAAATAACGATTTTCTATAAACTTTGATCAAAGGTTATCGAGGTCGAGGAATCCGAATCTATGAGTCGTTTTACAAAATTTGTGAGTTTCATTTTTTTTGTTAGGATAAGGCTATTTTCAGAAAATAACGATTTTCTATAAAGTTTGGCCAAATGTCATGGGGGTCCAGGAATTCGAATCTGTGACTCGCTTTTCAAAATTTATCAGCTTGATTTTTTCGGCCACTGAAGGCCTATTTTGCAGAAATGCGGATATTCCCATAGAGCTGGCAAAACTATGAGAAATTGCTTCACCCTGACAAAAAAATCGAAACTCGAAAAGTTTTCGAAATCACTTATAGATTTGGATTGCTCGACTCCGATAGCTTCCGATCAAAGTTTATACGAAAATCATCATTTTCGGAAAATACACTTTCCTAACGAAAAAATCAATCTCACAAATTTTTCCTTCTCAGATAACAGTGATTTCTTACCCCTATTATGGATATCAAAATTCTGACAAGCTGAGATATACACACAATAGCAATGATCTCTATCAATTTCTGTTGATTTCAAATTGATTTCTGGCATTGGAAATCAGTTTCTTTCCCCTTGATATCGATGAAGAAGTTAGATTAGCAGTTAGAATAAGGGGATAGATATAGGTTAATGACTTGGATTAGAAATTAGAACAACAGAGTAGAGTGAGGCCTCAAATGAAGAGGTTAGAATAAGCAATGGAATAAGAGATTAGAATAAGGGGATAGATTAAGGGGTTAGAATAGGGGATTAACATGAGGGATTAGAATAAGGGGATTGAATAAGGGGACAGATGAAGGGATTATAATAAGGGGTTAGAATAAGGATTTAGATTACACGGCTAGAATAAGGGGATAGAATAAGGATATAGATTAAAGGGTTAGAATAAGAGGATAGAATAAGGGATTAGAATAAGGGGACAGATGAAGGGATTATAATAAGGAGTTAGATTAAGGGGTTAGATTGCGCGGTTAGAATAAGGGATTCACATAAGGGGTTAGAATAAGGGGATAGAATAAGGGATTAACATAAGGGGATAGATTAAGCGGTTAGAATAAGAGATTAGAATAAGGGGTTAGAATAAGGGGTTAGAATAAGGGGATAGAATAAGGATTTAGACTAAGGGGTTAGAATAAGGATTTAGAATAAGGGGTTAGAATAAGGGGATAGATTAAGGGGATAGATTAAGGGGTTAGAATAAGGGGATAGAATAAGGGATTAACATAAGGGGATAGATTAAGCGGTTAGAATAAGAGATTAGAATAAGAGGATAGAATAACCCAGGTCAATGATTCCGGCCTCCGGAACCTTCAGGAACCGGCCGGAAACGGCGTATTTTCCAGCCTTTTCCCGCCGTTTCCGGCATCTTTCCCACCGGAAATGATCGGAAAAACACCCGGAACATGGAAGCAGTATTCCGGCCGGAAATTTCTCGTACCCGGAAACGCAGCGTTCCGAGAATCTCCGGCTCACGGAAATCCACGGGAAAAAACGAACAACCCGCAGGAACCGGTTGGAAACGGCCAAGGAACGAACCGTTTCCCACCGGAAAATTCAGAGGATCCGCTCCTCAGATCCTTTGAAAGATCTTTTAGAGATCTTTTAGAGATCTTTGAAAGATCTTTTAGAGA